CGCCGCCAGCCCGCATAGCAAAAGAACCTGCCCTGTCCTGAGCAGTTCTAAGTCGGGGGCGAATCTCAGGGCGGGCACCTGCTCCCCCCACATGCCCTCTCTACCAGTCGCCTGTGATTCAGCCTGTCTTCAAATGGTGAATGATGCAAATGAAACTGTACACATCAGGACCCCTGACTTGTCTGAGCTGAGGAAGACCCACATCCAGGCGCTGGGATTTGGGAACTAAAGGGAGACCTGATGCTGGGAAGTCCACGTGGGTCCCAGTCAGTGGTGGATCCAGCTATGGTGCACTGGTGCGCTCGCACTCCCCTTTGATTCCTGGTCCACCCGTATTTTAAAACCAACTGCCTAGCAACAGCAGCAGCATTTCTAGTCAGGTAGTGCTGAGGAAGTCAGTTGACATCATGGCTTATTATCTACCTGATCCCTTCTAAACTCTCCATACCACAGGTGTGAATGACCTCTCTTCTTTTTAATAGTCTTGCTGTTCCATGAATCAAGCTATCCTCTCTTCTGTGATTCTGCTGCCTGTAAGTGGCTCCTGGTAACAGCCCAGCAGGTTCCTAACTCATTCCAGTGAAGTGATATTTGTTTTTTCCCTTCAACTTGTAGCAAAAATAGTTACTTTTCTCTATGTTTCTTTGTTCCTTGTTTTAGTATTAACCCCTGCATTCTGTAACTTTCCACCCACATGGTACAGGATAGCCCACTACCTATGTCTTATAGGATGCTCAGGTTTTGGTTTGAAATTACCAATCAAAATGTAACACGTCAACTGAAAAAAATGCTAGCTCAATAAAAGCCACGTGCGCTCTTTGTTTAGGGTGGACACTGATCTGAGCAACAAGCTCCTCTGTTGGCCTGCTTGCAAGCAATAAAATAGAGTTGGACCCAGCCTGAAAGTGTGACTCTCTTCTAGAGGTGAATTGGACTAGCCTCCAGGGGATAAAATCAGCAATTTATGCAACAAACTGAAAAATGCAGCTGGAGGCCCCTAGCATACTAGTAACACTCCTAGTGTATTTTTCACTTGAGAAAAATACATGTTGTTTCATATGTTATCATGCACCTCCCCATCGGCACCCTTTTAAAAATCCGAGATCTGCCTGCAGTCCTGGCCTCTAAATGCAGCTTTATTTGCCAGCTGTCAGATTTGGCCACTTGCCTTCTTATGCATCGATGTGTTTATATGACGAATGTGTGTGATCTCACCCGCTATCACATCACCTCTCTTATTAAAATAGCAACCGTGCATTGCTATTTATTGTGAGGACATCATTCACGTCACAGAACACCCCCAGGACGATGTACTGGCGCTCACCAGCAGCACATTAAGCGATACGGAGAGGCAGGGACGCTACCACCGCGTGAGAACGGCCACGCAACTTAAGTAACAAGTGCGCCCTCTTGTGACGCAGTAAAGTACACTTACGTCACACACACGCGCACGCTCATTGGCTCGGGAAGCAGCGCTTCCCTGTGGAGAGTGCTGGGCGAGTGCTGGGCTCCTCGGGGCAGCGTGGGGGCGCGTTGGGCTGTCTGGCGGAGGGGGCGGGGCGCCGGGAGGGCTGTGCGCAGCGGCGAGGGGAAGGGGCGGGACTTCCGCCGTGGCCCCGCCCCACTCGGGGATAGTGGCGGAAGTGAGGCGGAAGTAACCGTGCGCTGGGCCGGGCCGGGCCGGGCGGCCATGGCCGAGTACTTGCAGGTGCTGCGGAACGCACTGCGGCAGCTCGGCGGGCACGGCGGCGTCCGCGGCGCCATATGGAAGGTGTTAAGGTACTGGCCGGCCGGGGACGTTCAAGGCGTGGGGAAGCCGGGCCGGGGCCGGGTCGCGCTGGGACCTTGCGCTGTGACCTTGTGTCCGGGCTGGGTCAGGCGGCGGCAGCGCGGTCTGGAGGGGCCGGTGCTGCAGCCGCTGCCTCAGGTGGCGCCGGTGTCTCCGCGGGGCAGCGACCCGCCGGGATTCGTCTCCCTTGTCGGGGCAGGCGCGTCCCCTGAGCGGCCGCCCTTGCTTGCCCTTGGGCTCAGAAGCCGAGAGAGCTCGGGATGTGGGGCCTCGTCCGGCACCGGCTCGGAGCAGCACCGGCCCTCCCGGCATTGGCTGTGTGGAGCCCAGTCTTAGATGCCTCCAAGGATGGAGAGTCCACAGCCTCTCTGGGTGACTCATTCCCTTGCTGCACTCCCCCTGTCCCCCTTCCTCTGAGAGTTTTTCCTAATACCCAACCTAAAACTTCCCCTGCTGCAACGTGAAACCATAGCTCCTTGTCCTGTCATCTGTCAGTGCTGAGAACAATCTCACTCCATCCTCTCTGGAGCTGCCCTTCAGGTAGCTGAAGGCTGCTGTCAGATCCACCTCAGTCTTCTCTTCTGCAGGCTAAATAAACCCAGTTCCCTTGGCCTCTCAGAAAGCTTGTGCGCCAACCCAGCACCGTTTGTGTTGCCTTCCATTGGACTTTTTCCAATTTGGCCACATCCTTTCTGTAGCGGGTAGGGTTACCATATGTCCAGGTTTCCCCAGACATACCCTCTTTTTTGGCCCCCTGTGCTACCTCTGGGCAGGTTTTTAAAATAACAGCAAATGTCTGGGTTTGTTGCTCTTCTGCTCTCCCGGGCTGGCAGCAGTGGGCAAGGTGATTGGCTGTCGGGGGTCACTTGTAGCCCACTGGGCACTGGCAAGCCAGGTAAAGACAGTGTATATGCATGGGTGTGTAAGCGAACCAGCGCATGCACAGGATGGGAGCTGCTTGGATAACAGGGCTGGGGGGACGGTGCTGTGGGTTGGGTGTGAGGGGCACTGTAGAGCTGGGGGGCAGAGAGCTGGGGCAGGGTTGGAGGGGCAGAGGCAGGGCAAGAGCATATCACTGCCCCCCACAATCATATGCCCCTTCCCCTGTCTCCTCCCCTCCGACCTCCCCTTGGCGTCCTCTTTTTTGATGCTGGAAATACAGTAACCTAAGTAGTGGGGGACCCAAAACTGGGCACAGTACTCCAGATGTGGCCTCACCAGTGCTAAATAGAGGGGCAGATCAAGGCCCTCGCAGTGAGGGAGGGAGTAGGGCAGGGACAGGAATTCCCCATAGCCCTCCCTGGCAGTGCTATTGCCCCCTGCCGCACCCCTGCCTGCCCTGAACACAGCCCTCGCCCAGCCCCCTGCCAGGAAGAGGCAGGCACAGCCCCTGGCCTCAAACCTGCTGTGGGCAGCCTGCCCTTGCTCTGCACACACATCTGATGAGCATGTGCCCCCCATGCCACCTCCCCTGGGGGTACGCGCAGCAGCAGGAGCTGCCCCCCTCCCCATTCTCCTGCACACTCCAGATGAGCTGCCACAGCTCCGCCCTTTGCCCCGCCACACTTGGGCAACACCTGCCCCTGCCCCACTCCTTCAGCATGAGGGCCTTGATTTACCCCACCTGTGTCCTCCCCCCCTCCTGATTTACTGGCTGGATGCTGCTCTCCAGGATGCTGGGCTGTATTCCTGGCCACCTGTATGCTGTGGCTGCATGCATACATGCAGCATTTATCGATGATGTTATTTGCTATGCTAGGCAAACCAAGCCAATATATTGGTGCACCTCTAATTACTGTTACAGGTATAATAACCTAGTGTCAGTGTAACAAGCTACATTGTGGGGGTTCTGTTCATGCCTTTATGAATTGCAAGGTGGGAGCGAGAGGAGGTGCTGGAGAAGTGTGGTGCCTCAGTTGCTGCCCACCTCATTGGGCCTGTTGGGTCAGATGGCTGGTAGCTGGTCTTCTGCAGCCTTGGGTTGATTTGGAGACAGAGCTGTGAAGGAGATAATAGGCTACTTGACCTCTACTGAGCTAGGCTAATGGTGCCAGTGTTTTTGCCCAGAGGGCTGGATGGGTAGTGCCCTGGCCAGATCCAGCTGATGGTCCTGATCCATCATGGGACAGTCGCAGCAGAGGAGCCCCATCTTGGTGCATAGAAGGGGGTGGGGCAGCTTGGCTCAACCTTGGCCCCTGTGGGGGATGGGGGAGGTAACCTGACCCTATTCACTGGTGAGAGTGCGGGTAGGGTGCATTACTGAACGCAAATTTGCTGCATGGGGCTTGGGGTTTGGAAACTTGGCAATGGGCGAGGGAGGCTATGTTTACTGCCACTGCTTCCCCACCACAAATTTCCCCATCTATGGGGAGTCCCATGGGCTGGGTACCTCTGGCTCCATGGGCTTCATTTGGCTCATGGGCCCGAGGTTGACCATCTCTGAGCTAGACTGACGCTTCCACATTTCTGTTTTGAGCCTTCCTCTGAACAGCTTCCAGTGTTGGAGAGGAGCTAACTCAATTACTGCCTACTGCGGCTTTACAAAGGCTCCAGGAACAAGTGGATTGGGCCTTCAGCTGTGTGATGTGAGGTACTCAGAAGAGAGTAGTTACTGTTGGTGATTTCTCCATCTGATTCTTGAAGAGGTCTGTAATAAAAGAAATATTGTAGATCTTCAGCCCCAAAGGCTATATTCTGTGAATGCTAGAATATAAGCTTTGGCAGTTGCAGCATATCTCCCAAACACTCAAGAGTGTTGCTGTGTAACAGAGTTGCTGAACTTAGCTATGCAGTACTCAGTAATCCTGCAGACTTCTGTAGAGGAAGTCTAAGCCATTAAAACCCAGGGGCAAAAGGATGGATCTCTGTATTCTGGTTCTATTTCCCCATGCCTGGTTGAGTGTCTTGTTGAGAAGCTCGCAGGGTCAGGTAGGCAGAGAGAGCAATTTCTCATGATTATTCTGGGCAGGGTTACTGCTTTTTTCGTGGCAGAAGAGGAGATAGGTAGATGTAAGAGCACAAAGGTTTAAAATTGTTCAAGAGATTGCTTTCTGCACCCTAAAAATATCAATAAAATGTATTCTTTGTGCTGATACAGTCTATAGTTGTATTACTATATTAAATCAATGAAATGTAGTGTTGAGTTCCCCTAGTATTAGAGTCCTACAATAAAGTTTGCCTATCTAAACAAGGAAAAAAGTGACCTTTTGGCAATACATGTTCTCCATATGCTCATTGGAAGGAGTTTTGACCAAATCCTCGTATTAAATATTTCCTTGGGGTATCAATTTATTCCAACCCTGCAAGACTAGAACGTGACCTTGAAATCATTCTGTTCCTTGTAGGGTTTCTCCTCAGACAATGCTATAAGTGATGTTTTCACATTTCCTTTCCCTCTGCATAGGTCTGCAGTGGCTACTATCTGTAATCAGACAGTGCTTGTTATTTGAAGTTGGAAGGCCTAGAATTAAATTTTGAATTCAGACCAGTAGTCCTCCCAGTTTTCATAGCATCGAGAACTATTCCTGCTTTGGTCCAGTCATTAGGACCATTGATAGTCTCAGGACTAGTAATATCTTTTTTTTTAGATTTGTTGGATGGCCAGATCACTGTTGCTGCATACTAGCTATTCCTTTGTTTTTAGCCAGTGTGTTTCTTTCTTTTGTCAGGGAGTCTTCATACCTTAGTTCCCATGGTAAGGAAAAGGGTATGCATTTTTCTAACCCATTTTGGATATCTAGATTTTAAAAAGACCCTGCTTCTCACACTGGAGACACCCTGTCCCAAAAATCCCATTGTAAAGAATCTGTAGAGCTTCCTATAAAGATCAGGAATGTTTAGTAGTACTTTCTTGAAAATTCTTCCTTTTTTGCGTAATAAGGGCCACAGATTGTCAGCCCTGCAGAAAAAGAGATTATTCAGGATGAGGATGTAAAATGACATCCAGAGATGAGTTTTTATTGTTAAGTGACATTTACTACTACCTGTAGTTGGGGAAATAGTTGCATGGGGTGTTTTTAACAAAGTATTTAACACAACCTGTAGTTTAGGAAAGTAGATTTGGCTTTATCTTGGCTGCTGTGGAAGTTATTTCTGCTGAAATTTCAGTAGGGTGAACATTCTGTTGGTGACAGTGACTGACAGGGCTGATTCTGCCCCCCAAGTGCAAATAGACTGAAATAGTCATTGTAATAGATCTGTGGACTTGAACAAAATAAAATAGAAAATTTTTCGTAATTGCAGATGCCTTTTCCTATTTTGTGCATCTGCGAACAAAATGATTTAGAGAGTCTTTCAACCTAAGGCTGGAGCCTCCAGTAGTTACGTAATATTGAACTCAAGTAGAAGTTGGTACAAGTAAGCTTTTGTGTATGAAGTTAAGATGGTTTGAAATGATTGTCTCATTAAACTTGTGCGTGGATGTCCTTGTGAACATGGATGGTTTACTTGGAAAAGAAATAGGAAAATGTAATTGTCATTACCGAGTCCAAACAACCCTTTCCAGGTTGTTTCTGCAGTGCAAACTGTATGATGAAAAATCCATTTTAGTTCAAAATCCTTTCTGATATTCTTCTTAGAACCTACCCTTATTTATCTGGTTCAAATATTGGATGCTAAATTGAGGGAGTAAATATAGATAAATGTAGTAAGTACAAGCCAAACGCCTGTCATGAATGACAGATTTCAAATGAGCATTTACATGACTGGCCCCGAAGGGTGGCCCTACCCCTGTTCTTTCTGTTGCCCCTCACTGCCAAGCCACAGCCCCTCCAAGCCCTGCTGCTGCTCCTCACTCCTAACCCAGTGACCCCAGCCCTGCCAGTGCCCCTCACTCACCAAACTGCAACACCCTGCCACCTCTGGGCCCTGCTGGTGCCCCTCACTCCTGGCCCACAGCCCCTTGGTGCTGCCAGTGCCCCTTGCCCTCCCAACCCACAGTCCCCTACCCTGATGTCCCACACTCCCAACCTGAAGCCCCCTGTACCCCCAGCCCTGCCGGAGGGGCCCCAGCTGTCCCCATCCTGACCAGGCCAGAGTGCAGTGGCTCCGATTTATGCAAGTGGCAGCAGAGCATGTCCAGGCCCAGCTTGGGCTGAGGAAAGAGGAGGGGAGGGTGCTGCATCACAACAGGCAGCCTGGCCACAGCTCCCTCACCCCACCCTCCCCACCATCTCCTGGCTGCTCAGCACCTGGAGCACATGCACCAGCCCCTGTGCTTCCGGCCAGCCACGGAGTTCCCCGCTGCCCTCCAAGGCCCCCCCTGTCCCTTTCCCCACTGGAGAGCAAGCAGTCCTCCCTCCACCCCCCCGCAGTCCTGTCATAGCTGCAGCCTCTGCTCCCCTTGCCGTGACCAAATGTCTGCATTTCTTCTTTGCTTGGATGGTGGGAGTAGGGGAAGGGCAATCGCAGGCAGCAGGGAGCACCACATGGGTCTGTGCACCTCTGCAGCTGTAAGCAGGTCCATGTGTGCTTTCTGCTGCTTGCACATGCCCTGCCCCTGCTCCCACCAGCGGAGCAAAGGGAAATCCCAGACAACCCACCTGGACTGAGATCAAAAGGCTTAAAAAGAGCGAGGACACATCCAGGGAAATCCAGACTTATGGTAACCCTGTCTCAATGGCAGTGCATGCACACTTGATCAAAAGCATTATGGACAGACAGACAGACTAAGCCCTTTATTATATTAGAATATATTACAAAATTATTTTTAAAACAATATAATGAAATGCTACGTCTTCTGTAAACAAAAATTTTGAGTTGTGTTAGGTTATTTCTGAAAATTAGGGTACAAGAGTATTTTGGATTGAGGCAATTTTAAACAGTAATTAAAGGAGTGAAATTGCTTCTGCATGTTTGATATTCTGGATGACAGTTCATTAGTGGAGTGTGCTTTTACAGTCTATAAACATGAAAGCTTACAGTTGCAGCTTTTTCTAGCAGTATACAAAGGCAGCAGGGAATTAAATGTTCAGTTTCAGGTGAGTGTTATGTAATTGTGCCTAGGGAAACACCAAGAATGCATACATCTGTTTACACATGGAATTCGGGTCTGGTGTTGGTTATGCTCAGCCGTCTGTTCTACTAAAAATTCTTCTTTTGAATATTGTCAGTGACCGTTCTGGTTCATTAGTAATGGATATGTAGGTAGATGCTACTTTGACCATCTTAGAATCATAGAAAATGGGGGTTGGAAGGGACCTCAAGAGGCCATCTAATCCAACCCCTTGCTCAAAGCAGGACCATTCCCAACTAAATCATCCCAGCCAAAGCTTTGTCTGCATGGGTCTTAAAAACCTCTAAGGATGGAGGTTCCACTATCTTTCTGTGTAACCTGTTCCAGTGTTTTACTACCCTCCTAGTGAGAAGCTTTTATTACAGAATTTATTACTTTTATACTGAGCATTTAAGTTTATATTTCAGTAGCCTACCTGGTGATAAAAACCCCCCCACATTTTCCATACTCCTTAAAAATAAAAGATGGATACAGCTTCCTTAAAGGACAGCCAGGTTTTAAGAAATTGCACTTCTTCCTGATTTTTTTTTTTTTCTTGTTAAACATCTTAGTGTGAAAAACCCACTAATAGAATACTTTGAGAGTAAACTCTCTCAGGTAGCCCTGTTCTCCACACACAGTTCCTTCAGACATGGTAGTTAACTTCCTTCAATGTCAGCCTTACAACAGCAAGCAGAAAAAGGGAATATGATGATTACTACATTCAACTTTTATAAGAAACTTTTTTTTGGCCTTGAAGGAATCCTGTTTTAATGCACAGTTTTTGCAAATAAAAGGTAAGACTGTACCTTACTCTTATCCCTCAGTGGTATTATTTCCCATGTTTTCAAGACCATTCCCAAAATGAACTGTGGAATTTGGCCAGTAGTTTGCCAGTTTAAGTGGGATACTTAAGTTTGCAAGATACTTCAGTGTATAATGACCTGGTTTTTAAAATGTCAGTTTCAGTTTTGCTGACATTAAAACAGTACTTTCTTGAGAGAGATAAGGAGACAAGGTTCTCTGGGTGAATCTGATATCTTTTATTAGACAAACTTAAATAGTTGGAAAAACTTTTCTTAGCAAGCTTTTGAGTTTAAAAACCCTTTTTCAGGCTGAGGAAGCATCTGCAGTTGATGTGTATGCCCTTAGACCAGCATGGCTACAACCTACACCCTTGATAGAGAGAATGCATTCTGAAAATGTCAATTGAAATTTCTTTTAGTTGAAATTGTCTTGGGAATTTGCAGGGTCAGTGATTTGAAGATTGGTACGCTAATCGGTGTTGACAAATATGGAAACAAATACTTTGAAGACAAAAGATATTTTTTTGGTAAGTATACTATGCTAAGAATTAATTAAACTGACTGCCCCCCTGTCCCCCCCTCCCCTTTCCCCCTTTTTAATAGGTTATCTAGATTCTACAGGTGACGTGGAAATGATGCAGCTCCCTTGCAGTCATTTGTGCGCATTTTAGCAATGGACACTAACAACCACCATAGTCAAAGAAATTGAACCTAGTGTTGTAGTGGGGCAAATACCCCACAAAGCTTACTTGAGTGCATCTGTACCTGCTGAGTTATAAGGGGCTTGTGGAGGGATAAACAAACCAGCCTCTTCTAAAGCACCAGTCTTTAACTAGGGACCTTCTTAACTTGCAGTTTTGTGATTTTTTGCGAACTGTAAAAAAAACCCAAAAAAACCAACCAGTAGTCTACATGATCACTGCAAAAAAATAGCGTTTCCCTTGATTTTGCACAGAATTGCCCAGAAAAAAAAAAGGCTTATTGGAATACAATGAGAACACAGCAATTCCTGCAGCCATAGGGCACGTGGTTTGAGAGCTACTGAGAGGCTGAGCTAGTGATGTAGAGTAGTGACATAGACAGGCCAGTTAGGAAAGCAAAAGGGTTTTGGTGCTGTGTTTTAAGAAGCCAGATGCAATGCTGCAGTCTGCAGATGAGTGATTGGCCCCTCAGATAATCAGCAGTGAGCGGCAGAACTGCTGAGGCCAGTTAGCAATGGGGAGGGACTCCCTGCAAAAAGACTGCGAAATCGGTGCTGTGAGCAACCCGTGCAAACCCCATCATCTTGCTGCAATTTAGGTATGTCTTTATCTATATAATGCCTCTCAGGGTCCTTGGAGATTCATGGAGCTCTCTTGAACTCTGGGAACCTGATTATACTCCCATGCATACAGCCTTTTTAAGCTGTCTGGGCCCCCCAAAATTCGAATATTAATTTTTAGGACTAAATGCATGCTTGGGTTTCTGGGAATTCAGTGGCTCTTTAACACTTGCTAAGGGGGCTGTGACTTACTGGCCTCAGAAGGAATGCCCTTTTTGGTCTGTGCACCAACCACAAGGTAAGCCGCTCCCTCTCCCTGAGTACCACCCCAGACTCCTTCCATAGCCTGATTCATTGCTCTGCTTGATTGTCCATGCCCTGTCTGCTGCTGTTCTCCCTGCTTCTTGCTGGATCTGCCATGTGCTAAACAACCAGCTGTATGTGCCATGGGTTGGCCACCCCTGCTCTCCCTATTGCTAAACTCCAAAAAATTAAGTTCAGCATTAATGGAAAATATTAGCCTTTACATGCAGAAGACCTTGCAAAATAAAGGCTGATTTATATTTATCCCAAAATGCATGTCTGTCATGGTAAACAATACATTTGTTAGCCAAAGTACTGCCTAATATACTTTCTGTTTAGTACAGTTTTTATCTTTTACTGTGGGAGTAGTTATTTTTACCTAATACAGTGTTGCTCCTTTATCAAATTCAAGGTCGACACAGATGGGTTGAATATACTAGTGAAATGAATGGCAAAAATACATACTGGGATGTGGATGCAAGCATGGTGCCACCGGAATGGTAAACAAATTAATATATTTATGAATTGTGTAACCTATGGATTCTTCAATAAAAAGTCTTTGTTATAAAGCATATGGAATTAAACAAGGCGGCATTCTTTTATGACCCCAGCTTTCCTAGATGGTGAAAGGAATCTGGTATGAAGGATGTTCTTCCTTTTTATTCAGAAAATGTCTTAATGTGTTGGTTTAGCAGCACAGAGACAACACAGATGAGAGTTTCTCAGGAATTATTTCTGTTGAGTAAGGATGTCTTTTGATACATGCAGCCACATTCTGAGTCTCTTTCATGCTTTCCAAACCATAGAATCTCAAAAATAAAAGGTTGTGGTATCCACATGAGTTTGCAGCATTGGGAGAGCTGACCATCCAGGGCTCTGACAGTGCAGGAAGTAGTCCCCTGTGCTCCAGTGAAAGTGGTACAGTTTGTAGGATCAGGGCCCAACTCCCAAATCCAAATGTCTCCTGCTACAAATAGCAGTATCTGAAAGTCAGAGTGGGCAGAAATTACGCTCTTAGCACAAGAAGGACCTAATTGGGATCGAAAGACAACTTACAGTTTTAATCTTTCACACCTCCAATTTTCAACCACTTTTATCCTGTTGACAAATGTATAGGCAGTAGGGGTGCACTGATAAAGATTTTTTTGGCAAATACCGATGGCTGATTATTAACCAGCCATATTGGCCAATACTGATCCAATAGCTGATATGCAGCCCGGCAGCTTGGAGAGCAGCATCCGGCTGGTAAGTGTGTGGGAGGGAAGAGGCGTAGGGGAGGGGTGCGTGGGGGGCAGAGCAAGGCTCCCACAGTGAGGGGAGTGGGGCTGGGGCAGGGGCAGGTGCTGCCCAGCAGGGGCGGAGCAGAGCTGCAGGCAGCTCATCTGGTGGGGAGGGGGGGCATGTGCCCCCCCAGATTTTCATGTGGGGTGAGAGCAGGCTGCCCACTGCTGGCTTAGAGCCAGGGGTTGTGCCAGCCTCTATTTGGCAGAGGGGCTGGACCAGGGCTGCACTCGGGGTGAGCAGTGCTGGAAGTGGGGGCTACTGGGTAATTCCTGCCCCAGCCCAACTCACTCCCTCACCGTGGGGTCTCAATCTGCCCCCTCCCTGGCGTGGCTAGAGGCATAGGGGTGAGAAGAGGGGGAAGAGGCCAGTGCAGCCCCTGGCTTCGAGCCTGCAGCAGGCAGCCTGCCCTCACCCCACACACAAATCCAAGGGGAGGCACTTTTCCCCCCCAGGGGTGCTTGCAGTGCCTGGGAGCTGCCCCCCGCCCCCTCTGTCCAGAAGTGCTGCCTGTGGCTCTACCCTGTGCCCCACTGCACCCCAGCTGTGCAGGACCTACCCCAGCCCAATTTCCTCCTAACTGTAGTGACCTCGATCCTCTCCCCTGTGCTCCATCTTTCCTACAGACTTAGTGGCCAGACGCTGCTCTCCAAGATGCTGGGCTGCATTCCTGGCTGCGTGCATGGCAGCTGCACGCATGCACGTAGCATTTATCAGTGACATTGGCTACACTGGCCAAAAATGCTGATTGCCAATAATGACTATTTTCCTTTTATCTGTACCAATACAATATGAACCAATATATTGGTGCACCTCTAACAGGCAGTGATCTGACTTTGAACAGCTGCTTTTGTTCATGCATAGTGAAAACTCTCTTTTACATTTTAGTTGGGTGACTGAATTTTCTGTATCTATCTAGTAGTGTACCTTAAAACCTCCATGAATAGTGGAAAATATTGTGCACCTAAACTCAATAGGTAGTTGCTGTATTTTTATTTAAAACTCTGGGGAGTTAAATAGAAGAATTCCCACTGTAATACGAAGTTTGCAAGTTTGAACTCCAAAAGTCAGGAAGTGCAAATATTAAGGTTTGAATAACACTATGTATTCGGCCATACTGTGTGAGGATGAAATATTTTACTAAGTGTATAGAGAAAGGCACATTGTGCACTTCTGAGTTGAAATTTCTATTGGAATCTTACCTTCTAAACTCAAATCAGCAGTTCAGATTTGTACCAGAACATTGCATTAATATTAGGCTTTAAAGTTAATTAAAACTGTCAAACCACCACTAGATCAGGACTGAGCATTTGTATATAATCAGCAGCACTTCAGGTCCACCAGAGGGGAAGTGCAATATTTGTGCAACATTGAGGGCATGTTCCAGTAAATGGAAGTATTCTTTTTCTGTTTCTATTTCAATGGTTAGTTTTGAAAAATGGTCAAAGATCTTGAAGCCAGTGTGTAATTAATGTGGCATTAGCTCATTACTGCCCACAGAATTTTGGGAATTTTTTTACTTTAGTTTTTCAGAAGTAAAACTCTACAGGCTATCTAATGTCTCATGTCTGATAATATCCAGTCCTGTGTACATTACAGCATGGGGGGAATACAGATTGTCTCATTTGGCTACATGGGTGGCCTAGCTGGTGACCTTTATTTTCCAGCCACCTGCTTCCTCTTAAAAAGGGTTTTGCATCTGTCTCCTGGCTGGTAATGCTCTATACCACGTGCCATCTTTTCATCACTCCTCATTGGCTGTTTACAGATGTAAAAAAATCCCCCCCAAAATGGCACTTTAAACTCCACGTGCCCCTATGCCGAGCCCAGTGCATGCCCAGAAGAGGCATCGTGTTAGTTGGGCTTGGCTCGCACAACGTATGTATAGATCAGGTGCTTTAGCTGGGCCTTTTGGCGCTTTTATGTAGCTGATTGAATCAGCTTTAGATGAAAGTGCCAAAAAGCCCTGCTGAAATGCCCGATCTATACAGATGCTGTGGAGTTGGATCAAACTAATGAGCTGCTGCTTCTAGTAAAGCACAAGTTACTTTGGTGTATCCCCCCCCCAATCTGTCAACACCCATTGACTATAAATGCCTGCCCTTGCTGATCTCACTAAATGCAGCATTCTGATACACATGAAACTGGTAGTTTGTCCATGTGGATTACAATGCAGCCCAAGGCTTTATCTCACTTCTTTGCTACAGGGAAGCAATATTCCCCCTTGGGCATTTACTTTTCGAAGTATTGTATATAGGCCAAATTCGAGCATCTTGGCAACCAACCCCTGCAGTCCTGAAGTCTATACCAGCATTAGACTGAGCAAGCCAGCATTTAACTGCCTAGTCTGAACCTGGCCTTCATGAAGACTTTTATCTTTTTGTTTGTCACTTTATAGATTACATAGAGCATCTATTCAAGATAGGTGAAAGCTGAGCTAAGTTAACTTACTTAGCAGGGAACCAGATAATGCTCCTGCATCCTGTTGTGATGGAGATGAGAGCAGGACTAAGGATTGGTGGGGAATAAGGCACTGAGTTTTCTGGAACTGTTGTAAGATTAAGTTTACCACTGAGCAGTACTGTCTCATTTGCAGCACAGCAAAACAGATATCTTCATGGGCAGGAAGTAATAAAAACTAAATCTTTTTAAATAAAGTAATCTAGCATGCAGTTTTTTCCTACTCTCTAGCAATTGTCATTCTCCCATCTCTTTTTCCCTGTACAGGTATCATTAATTTTAGACTGAGCAGTTTCTTCTCAAGTACTCAGCTTCTCAATCTATTTAATTCATTGTATTCTCTGCCTGAGAAGGGACATCTTTATGTCTGTCTGTGTTTGGGGGGGTGGGGGGAATACCATTTATTCAGTGCTGAAATGAATAACTTGAAGCTGAAATTACATACACACTTAAGGCTACAGAAAACCAATTTTTGTAGTGCAGCCTAAAATTAAATCTGGTTTGAAGAGCAACTCTGATGTCTTCATCAGTCCTTGCCAGGTGCAACTTCATATAATAGCAAGAACTAAACATGTTCTCCTTGGGGAATGCTGTTAAACAAACTGAAAACTAATATATTCTGGCAGCTGTTTCTAATGTTACCTTTTTGTTTATGCCTGTGATAGCTGCACTGAAAGTCCTTATCACAGAGAACTTGCATTAGTAAAGCTGATATAAAATTTTAGCTTGCATTAATTGCATCTTGAAATAAAAATCTTTGATTTCAGGGTGCAGGATTGCACAATGGTGCGAGTGGCAGGCCATGAGTTTGGTTTTGTCTCTCTCCCCCTTGGTATGTGTCTCAAAACCTACTGCACAAATAATTAGAGGCAGTTGTCAGTCTCTGCTCAGAGACACCTGTGACTTGTATAACAGAACAGTTGCAGATCAAGATTAAAGCTTTGTAGCAGAGCTGTGTAGGGATACTTGTGGAGTACCTGTTCATACAGAGTCAGTGCCATCTGTTGCTCTTTTTCATCAGCTCTGATTTTGCTCATTCTTGCTTTTGAATAAGCTTTCATTATTATCTGATATATTTTGACAAGCTAAACTGGATGAAATGGGGCCATGTAGGTTTCTGGATAAAAGTAGTATGGGAAATGCTTTTCAGTCTTCCACGAACCGATTTTTTTTTTTTTCATTTAATTGCATACGGTTGTGGATGCTCCCTTTATTCACCATCCTGAGCTGTACGTGTAGTAGTTTTTGGAGTAAGGAAAACATCTCACTTAGTTTTAGGCTTTCCTAGTTCTAGGCTTTCCCTGTTTCTTCAGCCCAGGTCAGTATTTTTCTCTCTTACGTTCCACTCGGTTTTCTTTTTCATTAGCTGTGATTGTATCTGCTGTAGACAAGTGTATATTAAAGAAGTAGTGCACAGCTACATGATGCAGTGTTCAAAATACCAGCAGAGCAGTTTCAAGAATTCTTGTGGTATCTTTAGAATTTAGAGTAGTAGGGGAACTTTTTTTCTGAATTCTGCCATCATCAGCATAGTTGCATGCCTTGCTTTTCAGGTATTTAATACGTCATTCATGCACATGTGTGTGTATGTATATTCCATTTGCATTTCTGTTGTATGAAAAAAATACTTTTCTGCTCATGCACTTCAGTGTGCACAAACTGATTTTACAAAATCTGGGATTCTTATGCTAAAAAGAATGATCGCTTTGCTAATACCTGACCGTATAGCTGTTAACAGGTATAGTGATCATTGCAAATA